GTTGGTTTTCTCTTGAAAACCAAATTGAGTTGCAAGTGAATGTATTTCTCGAAAACTTCGCGAGAGCTTCTGCACTTTATTTTGTCCTCCATAGAATAATAGGATCGATCGCGTCCTGCCTCAGCAGCAATCACTGTGCGACTATGTGGTTCATTCGACTTCGCTGGCTGAAAAGGGAGAGGGGTGAATGCGCTCTCTGGCAGATGTGTCAAGACCATACATTTCTAAAAATCCCAAGCCACAAGTGCATTGAAAGTGGACCCTTCCTCAGCTGCGAACAAAAGTACCAGGACTGTCGTGGCAGAGTGCATCAAGATTCGTGCTTCATGTGATCGGAAACATAAACGGTGAATATTCGCACTTGGTACAATGCAGATTCATCCCCACACATCACCGAAGTAAGGTAATTAATTGAAAATAAGTTGAGCGTGCACAGGTCACGTGACTTCGCCTCATCACCAGCAAGCTTAAATTTCCATCAGCTGGGCTCATAAATTTCAGCTTAATTCTGCCATTTCAACGAATTACTTTCAGGCATGAACACCTAGAGAGTACATGTGATAAAATTTTTATTCACGTTTGACTTTTACTAAAATGTAACTTACATTTGTCGCTGAATGGCCTAGTAGCAACCCCGAATAAAACACTTAATCACGTGACAGATAATTAGGGTGGAGTCATTACGATGGTCTAGTCAGCAGAACGGTGGGAGTATTGAACGACTGTGGTTCACTGGGCGTAGTTTGAACTTGAGTCATGTACTCGAGTCATGCTCGAGCGGTACGAGAGGTTGCTAAATTCTGCTTACTATTAACTGGGACAATAGCATAAATCACTCCTTATTCGGGACAAACAAATCAAATTTTACTGCGCTATATGTCGTCAGAAATCTTTCGCTGTAGAAGGATTGCTTTATGACCTCTTCCTTTGTTTTAGGTATTCAACGTCTTTGGTACAGACATTCTGGAACAAGTTTTCAGCAAACCTTGCCCACAAAGATTGGGACAAAGCCTGATGAGTAAGGTAGAGAGGAAGTTAGCTACTGGTGGACAGTGAGCCATCCAAACATCTGAGAATTCTGTCGTGAATAGAATTGAGAGAACATCTCATTTTACAAAAGCAATGGTCCTTGTCTGATCTTCATGGTTGCGTTTTGGGACGATAGTTGCTTAGTATAGGTATCCGGAATCCGACAACTTTTGGTTCGCTACATCATTTTCATCCTGAAAGGTGGCCTCATTAGATTGCTTGATACTGAAACTGCAGTCCGCTAATGGTTGCGAACGTACAGACAGCCATGAATAAATAGCAGGCAAGTATTGATAAGCACCTTCAGTTTTCCCCGATTGAATTAGATGACAAGTTACTAATCATGCGGAGTTTCTGACCCGATTTCAGTTGGACAACTTCATCACAAGAGTTACCAGGAGGACATTGTATGACCACAAGCTTATGAACTCATACTGCCCAGTTAAAGTTTGGTCACCTTGAGCAAAACAACGGATCAGAGTAAGAAAGCTCTTGGATACAACTGGACCATGAAATGGAAGCCGAATAGACCGCGTCTATTCCCCAATAAGGTTTCCTTGTACGGATGAATAGTGCCACAACCTGTCTGCCGTAAACACGCGCATTTATGACCGATCAGGTACGCAAGAGAATCAGGTTTCAGGTTTATCGTCTCTTTCTAGTTGGTCAATTATTGTCCTTTATCATCGGCCCCTCTCACGTCTGGCACCCTGGTCGTATTGGGCAAGACATCTTGTCGGTGATGCTGTGGTCCACTTAGAGTACTCTGTGATTCATCAAAGGCTCATCAGGTATGCAGAATCTTTCCAGACGCACGGTACGCTGACGATACCCAAGTCGCAGGCATATACTACTTGATAGTTGCAGGTATTTGCCCATTATATTACCAAAAATTAGAAGAAAACTTGGCACGTCATTTATCTTCATAGGGTACACTAAAATCGGCCTAACAGTACATCAGTGAACGACAAATGGACAGAAAGTGGCCAAACAGCCAAACGTTGAAATGACAGTCGATACCCTTCTATCGTACTCTGAGAATTTGAGTGAGTGCGATGTCTGATTGTCTGCTAATCTACGTAGAATATATACCAACAAATCAAACTCGAATACAACGATAGGGCAGACACACATTTCCACACTACCTGAGGATAAGCTTTTGCCTTTGATTTCCCGATCCTATACCCCCGTACCTTGCGTAGGCTGGATGGTCAAATCCTTTCCCCCAGGAGCTTCACAAAGCCTGTATTTTCCAAAACTAAGTCAAGGTGGCGTGTGCGTACTTGTGCAGTCCAAAGTATCGTGAAAAAATAAACCAACCCAAAAATTTCGATGGTAAAATATCATTCACAGAATATTTATACAAAAAAACTGGAGTAGAATTCCCGGTTTCCGGACAAATCGGTTACAAGTTTTCTTATTGTAGAACAATGAAAGGATTGTTCCAGGATACCAGTTTGGCTATTTGAATAAAACTCATGTGAATACAGGGTCTACTCATCAGGTTCTACTAATTTTGTGAATGTCTTATAAGGGCTCGAATTTTATCTACTAAAAGTCTAGTTTAACAAACTTTTCGTAACTGTGGTCATCCGGCAAAGCACTTGTTTGAGCAACTAATCACATGACGTTAGTCTAACCTGACGTGAAAGTCTAATAATTCTTCGTCAAGAAAACACGGAACGTCAGTCGGATATTCACTCCGTCTTGGCAGTCACTGATGAACAGAGACCCACACTTCCCATGAACTCTACTCAAGGTGTCAACGAAATACGGCCCACGAATATGCGACCGTTCAACTGTTGTTAATCGTATGTCCGGAACATGCGCGTCTTTGTCATAAGAGTGTGACTCTTAATGCTTTGTTCGAAGGCCTCTGAGTATAGGTTTGCTCCAAAAATTTCTATCATAGTTGAGTGGCGTGTCGTGTCTCAGCTTATTGAATGTATAACATTGTCGTGATCTTCCTGTTTTTTTTGAATAACTTCTAAAAGCATCGTTTATATCCACTAGTGATTTCTAATGTCCAGCTGGTTTTTAATCAGTCATCTTGGAACGGATGGACTGACTTGATCCCTGTGGATTGGAGCCAATGACCAACGAATACTACACACGAAATGAAGGTATCTAAAGCAGCACAAATCAAACCGTGGCACAACTTACAAATACATCGTCGACCAGGGTAGAATCCGTTTGGGGAAGCATCTATAGTGAACGGTTTGCATTCACACGTATACACTGTACCACTGAGTGGAACGCAAATGCCGTTGACCGAACAGTCATTGTTTCCCGAGCTGCAAGGATCGGTTGCTGAAAAGGTCAAATAAGTAGTATATTGTGCGAAAATGTCCAGTCATTGCCAATAGTCTTATTGGAAATGAGATCGTCACTGACAGACTGTCTATAGGTAGTAAGTGGTCCTGTTGGACTGTACCTGGGTGGCACATAAAACAAATGACACTATTTGATAGCCATTATCAAAACTAATCGCGTTGCCCCAGGAGTAGGTAACCCACGTGACTCGGTTTTCGGCCATACGTTCAGCAAATCGTGGAAGCCCAACTTATCATATTGAAAACAAAAGAATTTCAGCTTTACTCCCCAACCGACTTTCATCCAGTTTTTTTTTCAGATATTTTGCCACCTGACTCAGTCACAATCAAGTGTGACAATGTAGTTCTTGTATCCTGTCTATCCTGTAAAACTTCATTTGATATAAAGATCTACCTGGATTAAATGTATCCATACTACGTCTTCTTTCTATTCTTACATAAAATGTGAGGCGGGGACTGGTGCTTTATGAAAAATTTTTTGCAGTCCACTGCTCTCCTTAATCGATATAGTCGAATTGTAGAGAGCCATTTTCTCCCCTGTTGACTACCTCCTTGTCATATTTGAACCTTGCTAGAAGTTTGCCAGATGTAAAGCGTTTGAGAAATGTGAAATAACTTAGTGTTTAAGATCAAAGTGAGAGGGATTTGGAAACGGTTCTTATTCGTTTGTAACCCTGAAGAAAGCACTCCGGTTTCAACTCAAACGTCACTATATCCGAAAGGATTTTCCTAACGGGAAGAGACCACTGTTTAAAATAGCTGTCTAAAAATAACAACTCACCTTGCACAGAAAACACTGCTGCGTCTTGTCGCTCAAAGATTATGAGAGAAGGAATCGGAACCGGTAGGTTGGGTTCACTCAATCGCATCCCACCTGAAACCAGATGCTCCATGACTGATTTGTTGTCGTACATTTTGGCCATGGAATCGTTAAAGTCAAACTTTACAAAGACTGAAGCAACCACTGATCCACTGACAAATTGATCAAATGAAATTCCTTCGTAAGCGCGAACCAGCAAAAGGTCACTTCCGAGTAAAGTGGCCAGGTGTAACTGTGTCGGGTGAAGTGGAAATAAAGGTACAACTGTATAGTTTGAAAGAGTGGAGAAAAGATGCGCAAACGTGTGCCCGTTGAATGGAGATTGGTCAAATATTGACGAAACGCCAAGGGACTGCTTGTTTGTAGAGCGAAACTTTACTCATTTTCTATTGAAGACGTGGGCGGTTCCCGGAACACTAAGGCTTTCCTTCTCGGACTGGTATCATCAAACGAGCAAGGAACGAGATCTCGTTAAAACCAATACGCTGTCGTCCGATACAGTTGTGAGAAATGCGAAATCAACGTAAAATAGTACATCTACCATGAGATACCATAAACAAATACTACCACATGTGCGCGGTAACTGACAGTGGTAATTTAAGTGGATTCTGAGAGGTTAGATCTCGAATGCTATCACGCTTAAACTGGGCACAGATTTTGCCCCAGTTAACCCAGTCACTATCGACTCCAAGAGAAGCGATTTCCGGAAATACAACAGCCGCTACTTTTCTTGGAATCTGTGGAAACTTTTTATACGTTCTGCGGACACGACGCCATGGCGTCTAAAAATTCAGCAGAAACTTTTCATTTCTGGAACTTATAATGTTTGCAACGACTCGTGATTTGTATGGAATTGTTCGCTGAGCAGAAGAAACGGAATGTTGGCAGAAGACGCGTTCCATCGCTCAACAGACTTCAGACGGTAGGTTTGGATCGAGTAATTCGGTAATGCCTCTTTTCTTTAACCTTTACCAACCTAAAGCACCGCTAAACTAGCGAAATACACACATTTGCAAGCTAATTTGGTTTTTCGAAAGACTCACCCGGAACCCAGCTGAATCT